TCTGCATTCCTGGTATAAATTCAGCCTGGTTATAGTGTATGATCTTTGTGGTATGTTGTTGTAGTTTTCTTGCTAATATCTTATTTAAATTTTTTGCATCTATATGCATTAGGGATATTGGTCTATAGTTTTCTGTTTTAACTCTCCTTGGTTAAGAAACGGAGACTGTATTTGTGTCATAAAAGGAATCTGATAGGAATAACTTTTCACATATTTTTTCAAAATTTGATAAAATTTGTAAATCCATATTGTTCTGGGATTTTTCAATTTGAGAGTTCATTTATAGCATTTCTTTTTCTAAGACAGTTATTCCACTTTTCCTGTTTTGTTAATCTGGGCTACTTATATTTTTATATATGTGGATACATTTAATTTAGATCATCAAATTTACTGGCATATAGTAAGGTGAAATAGCTCCTAATAATTGCTTTTATTTCTCCTTCATTGGATGTGAATTAACCTTTTCCATTTCTGATATAATTAATTTGACTTTTCTTTTGCTGACCAAATTAGCCGATGGCTTTTCTACTTTATTACTTTAAAAAAGGAGAGAAAAAAAAGCTTTGTTTTATTTATGAGCATATGATTTTTAACTTTCAATTCTCTTATTTTGTTACTCTCTCCTTTGATTTTCAGGACTTCTATTTTAGTATTTAATTGGGGCTTTTTGATTTGTTGGCTTTCTAGTTTTTTTAATTGTATGTACAATTTGTTGGTCTGCTTTTTCTTTTATTGATGAAAATATTAATAGATATAAATATTTCCTTTAGTACTACTTTCATCACATCCCACAAATTTTGGTATGTTGTCTCAGTGTTGTTACCTGTAATAAAATTAAATGTTGCTATGAGTTGTTCTTGCATCCATCCATTCTTTAGGATTAAGCTATTTAGTTTCTAATTGATTTTTAATTTTTGCTTCAAAGGCCTTTTATCGAAAGTAATTTTTATTGTATTAAGGTTCAAGAAAGATACATTTATTATTTCTGCATTTTTGTGAGTTTTTACATCTTAATTCAGTCAATTTTTGTGAACATGATTTGCACAGATGAGGAACAGGTATACTCTTTTTTATTCCTATTCAGAATTCACAGAGCTATCTTTAACTTTTCTAAAATGCTATTCAGGGTCCATAACTTCTTTCTTGTTTATTTTTTGGGTCAGATTTATCTAGGTCTGTGAGAGGTAAATTGAGGTTCCCCCACTCTTAGAATTTTATTTATTGTTCACTTCTAAATGACTGGGCCAGCTGAAGTAAATGTAATTTATTTACATTTACATTTACATTTACATTTTCTTTTAAAAATTAGGTGCTCTCTTTCTTGGTAGATACATATATATTTTTAATATTGATGACAATTCATTATTTATAGTCATTTCAGCAAAACACAGCTTTCCTATTTCTTTTAAGTGGAGCTATTTTTACTTTTGCTTTATCTAAGATCGTAACTGCTACCTCTGCCTTTTTTTAAATTTAGTATAAAGCATAACAGATTTGGCTTCCCCTCCTACCTCTCCTTTGTTTTAAATTGCGTGTATCTTTCTGTTTCAAGTGTGTTTCTTATAATCATTGCTGGATTCTGGTTTCTAATCCATTCTGCTAACCTCTTCTATTTTATGGGTGAGTTCATCCCATTCACATCCACACTTGTGATTGTGTACTTTCCTTCATCCTATTTTACTTAAGCTTAGCATAACAATCCTTTGTGCTCACCCTCCAGATGATTTCACCCTCTGGCAAAACATACTGCTTTGACCAGCACCAGGCGTTCTCTGAGAGATATGATTTTCATATTAATCGATTACTATTTATATTTTTTGGAGCTTCCCTATTTCCTAGGGGACCTCAGAGCCAGAAGTAGCCAACATGCTGCAGCAGAAAGTGACCAATCAAAATCTCCTGACATGTTAACAATTCCTGAATTCCCATGCTAGGAACTGGTAAGTCAACAGAACCAAGTACTTCATTCCAGTTCCCACCATGCTAACTCTAGCTTTGTACCCTGCTGAATGATCACAAGGCTCAGTGATTCTAATATCTTGGAGACTGTTCCTATAGGACCCAAGAACTGTCCCAAGAAATGCCAACCATGGGAGCTGTTTACTCAGGACTGTGTTGGGTCCTGCCTTCTTGTGGTTTTCATGTATAAAAACCATGTCTTTCCATAAACCATAACACCTCCTTCTCAGGAAGGCGGACTTCCACTTGGCAAGTGTTTTCCTCACTTTGAAAATATTTTGATACCTGACTCTCCTGACTCTAACCTTCTTTGTTCAGTTCTGGTCACCCACAGGTTAGAATGGTTCTGGGCCAGCTGACACTCTTCTCCTTCCTTTTCATTTTTCTTTTGAGATCATTAGAATCACTCCCAGGCCCTCTGTTCCTCCCTCTATGACCAATGGTGATGATAAGAGTTCTGAGCAAATATATAATAGGTATAAGAATAGCCAACACACCCAGGGTCTGGCACTATGCTAAGCAGTTTACAATTATTATCTCATTCAATCCTCACAACAATCTTGGGAGGTGGATGTTATTATCATCCCCATTTAACAGAGAAGGATGAGGCAAACGGGGGTTAAGTAACTTGCCCAGGATCACATAGTTAATAAGTATCTGAGGATGGATTAGAATTCAAGTTTTCTTAACTTCATGTCTGGATTTGAATTCAGGTCCTCTTATCTTTGGGTCTGGTACTTTATCTACTGCCCCCTAGCTATATCATCATCTCCATAATATAAAGTTTAATCTTGTTCAGTTCCTTACAATTAATTGCTTGCTCATGTTTACTCTTTTATGCTTCTCTTGACTCCTGTGTTTGTCAAAGTTTCTACTCAGTTCTAGTATTTTCATCAGGAATTTTGTTAAAGGCCCATTTCCTCCTCTGCAGAATTTTACAATTGCACTCATTTCATACTTCAGCAAGATTATGCTTAAGATTCTGCAAGCTAGGCTTCAGCAATACATAAATCAACAACTACCAGACAAGCAGGAGAGGAACTAGAGCCCAAATTGCCAAGATTTGTTGGATAATGGAGAATTGCAAGGGAGTTCCAGAAAAAAACCTCTACTTCACTGACTACACATATATACAATGTGTATAAATAATTGTAAACAATATACAGCCTTTGACTATGTGCATTATATCAAAATATGACAAGTCCTCAAAGAGATCATCTTACTTGTCTCCTGAGGAACTTACATGAGGACCAAGAAACAACAGTTAGAAGCAAACATGGAACAAATGATTGGTTTAAGATCGGAAAACAGTGAAACAAGGCTGTATATTGCTACCTTATTGAACTTGTAGGCAGAGTACATCATGCAAAATGCTAAGCTGTATGAATCAAAAGCTGGAACTAAGTTTGCCAGAAAAAATATCAACAATCTCAGATGTGCAGATGATACTACTCTGATGCAAGAAAGTGAAGAGGAATTGAGAAGACTCTCAATAACAGTGAAAGAAGAGAGTGAAAAAGATGACCTGAAGCTTAACATAAAAAATACTGAGATCATCACTTCCTAGCAAACAGAGGGAGAAGAAATGGGAGCAGTGTCAGATTTTATATTTTTGGCTCAAAGATCACTGCAGACGGTGACTGCAGCCACGAAATTAAGCAACACTTGCTCCTTGGAAGAAAAGCTATGGCAAATCTGGACAGCATACTAAAAAGCAGAGGTCTTTCAACTTGCAGACAAAGGCTAACTTGCAATTAAGGTTATGGTTTTTCCAGTAGTAATGTATGGCTGTAAAAGTTGGTATATAAGGAAAGCTGAGAGTCAAAGAATCAACACTTCTGCATGGTGATGTTGCAGAAGACTTTTGAGAGTTCCTTGGACAGCAAAAAGACCAAATCAATCACTACTTAAAGAAATTAATTCAGGCTATTCACTGGAAGGTCAAATACTGAAGCTTTGCCCAAATATAATGATGGGACTCATTGAAAAACACTGATGTTGAGAAAGGTTGAAGGCAAAAGGAGATGGGAAAGGCATAAGATGAGGTGGATAGTGTCATGGAAACAACAAACATGACTTGGACAGACTTCAAGAGATAGTAGAGAACAAGATGGCCTGGTGTGCTACAGTCCATGGGGTCATGAAGAGTTGGACATGACTTGAATGACTAAACAACAACAAAAAGAATTATACTCAGTTTTACCAGTTAACTTATTTTTGGTTGTAAGCCTAGATCTTTTACTTTTGAAATATCGTACTTCACAACTTTCACTTTCAGAGTAGTGAGGAACAAATTGTGTGTGATCTTGACTTTGACTCCTTGGTACCTGAATTCTTTTTTTTCTGGATTCTTGCAGCATTTTCTCCTTGACTTGGGAGCTCTGGATTTTGGTTACAATATTCCTGAAAGTTTTCATTTTGTTTTTGCAGGAGCTAACTAGTGGGTTCTTTCAATTTCTAATTTGCCCTCTGGTTCTAAGTTACTTGAGCAGGCCTTTTTGTTCATGGCTTTCAGGTCCCTCAATGTTTCTTTAATTACTTCTCCTTGATCTATTTACCAAGTCAATTGTGTTTACCATGCGTTATTTCACATTTTCTTCTAATTTTTCAGTTTTTTAAATGTTTTATTCTCTCTTAATGTCTCATGGAGTCGTTGCCTTGCACATGGACAATTCTAATTTTCAATGAGTTTTTTTTTTCAATAAGGTTTTGTACCTCTTCTTTTTCTAAGCCATTAATTTCTCTTTTCATGTTTCTTCCTTAGCTCTTTCCCTTTTCCCCATTTTTTTCTTATACTGTTTATATATCAAGCAGGTTGCTCTCATCCCTCCCCACTCTCCTTGGTTTTAAATCCAATTTAAGCAATGCTTGAAAATGAAGCCTTTATGTTGTAAAGTTCGAATACTTCTTTTTAAAAAAATAAACATAAAATGGACCAGGTGTACGTGTACACACACACACACACACACACACACACAGCGTATAAGAAAAATGAACATGCATTATAACAATATAGTTTGTGTACTTCAGTGTCTACTTACGTAAAGGTGCAGTCTGGTGTGACCCACACACCATGCAGTAGTTTCTACTCATTTTCCCTTTCTCACACAAGGAATCAATAAAGTCATCATCATAAAGGAATGCATCAATGTGAATTATGGGCTGAGGTTGCTGTTTTATCTGAATAGTGGTTAGAAAAACAAAGAAATATATTTTAATTGCAAAATAAGGTAATCTGATTCTTGAAAGATAAGTTATATTTATTCATGTTTCCAGCTATTTTCTTTGACCATTTTCTTTCCCAAAGGAAGCAAAAAAGGAAGCAGCTTTTTGCTTTGATGTGTAACAAAAATTTAGCGAATTTTAATTTCTATATTAGTAATACTTAAAGGTATAGGGGCAGCTAGATGGCATAGTGAATAAAGTGCTGAGCCAAGAGTCAGGAAGACCTAAGTTTAAATCTCACTAGCTGTGTGACCCTGTGCAGGTCATTTAACTCTTATTTGCCTTAGTTTCTTCATCCGTAAATTGGAAATTATAATAGCACTTACCTCCCAGGAATGTCACAAGCATTAAATGGGAGAATTGTTAAATATTTAGTACGATGCCTGGCACATAGTAGGTGATTAATTAATAAATATTTGTTTCCTTATTTCCTTTCCTTAAAATTAAAATTCACCTATTATTAAAAGTTTGTCTATAATCAGCTGTTCCTTATCAATATTGGGTAACTGATACAGCATAAAAAGTACTTTCCTCATCTCATCTCTTTATGATTAAAGGCTAGTAAAATTAATGACAGAAATTTCATGCCAAAATTAGTCCTATCAAATGCTTTCATTCATAAAAAGTTATCTACTAGTTTGACTCCTTCAAAGGCCTGATCTGAATGAATATATAGTAAGTGTACAAAATGATTATTGGTTATTGCCTTCCCTCTCTTAACTGTTTCCTTGAGGAAAGGAGTTGCCTTTTGCCTCTTTTTGTATTTCCCACTGCTTGGCACATGGTAGGCACTTAATAAATGTTTAGTGACTGACTGCTAAGAGTTTTGGCCTTCAGCACTTGACATATTAAGAGATGGCAGAGTGCTAATAAAAAGTATCAAGCTACAGGTCTCACTACTACTGTACCTTCAGATCTGACTCCTATTCCACGTCCACAGCATCCAGTGTCTTTAAGGATAAGTTGCAATCTGGGACAAGAGACATTACTTCTCCCTACTCCCTCCTTTCAATACAACTTCCTCATTTCCCTCTAACTTTCCACACATGACTCTTCCCTGCCAACTACTATGTAGCATATATTAGTGAAAATCTGAAGAGAGATATGCCGTGACCCTGATTTCCAACTTGTGGTTTACTTTCATTCTCCTCCTAAGTCAAAACTCTGGCAGTGACTAATTACCTGTCACTGCCCTTCACCCAAATTGCCTAGGATCTTGAGTATGGAATCCTGAATTTATGACTTTCGTCAACGCATTTCAAGTCACAAAGTGATCCATGGTCCATTTAATTTGGTAAGTGTTGTACAAAAGGAAATGTGGCAAAATTTGTTAAACAACTTAGATAGGAAAAGAACGTAAGGAATTCTATGCCCATCTCTATCTCCCCTAAGTAAAACAAGGTTAAAGGGCAAGGAATAAGAAATATGTTATTAATATCGAGTTTAAATCTTGGCTCTGATAGTTATTAACTACATGAGCATAGGCAAGTCACTTTAACTCTCAAGGTCTCAGATTTTTTTTTTAAGACAATTGGGGTTAAGTGACTTGCCCAGTGTCACACAGCTATTAAGTGTCAAATGTTTGGTCTGAAGCTGGATTTGAACTCAGGTCCTCCTGACTTCAGGGCCAGTGCTCTATCCACTGTGCCACCTAGCCGCCCCCTCAGATTTTATCATTGGTAAAACTGGAATAATACTTGCACTATTTACTTCATAGGGCTGCTATGAGGAAAGTGCTTTGTAAACTATATATTCAAATAACTGAAAGATCTGTGATTTTATCACTTCTTAGAACTTAGCAATTAGTCCTAAGTTCTTAACATTTCAGAGAGGTCAAGAAAGATGAGGACTGAGAAAAAATCATTAGAGCTGATAAAATTAAGAGAACACTGGTAACTTTGGTGAGAACAGTTTCAGTTGAATGATCAGATTGGAAGCCAGACTGTAGTGGATTTGGTTGAGAGTGAGAGGACAGGAAGTCGTGACATCAAGTGAGGAAGGCTTTCTCAAGAAGTCTGGCAGAGAAAGGAAAGACAGAGATAGATGACAGTTGGCAAGGATGGTAGTAGCATCCAGTGAGGATTTTCAAGTTGGAGGAGACTTGGAAGAGTTTATATGCAGCAGGGAAGGAACCTAGAGAAAGGAAGAAAATGAAGGTTAAGTAGCCAAAGGGATGACTTCAGAATCAATCTACTGAAGACGACAGAAAAATATGGGATTATGGGTACCTGTTGAAGGGTTAGTCTTGGAAAGGAAAAAGGCTCTTCTTCAGCCTTCTTCTCCAGACGGGAGCAAAAGGAGAAACAGTAATGAATGATGCTAAGGAATGGTGAAAAAAATGAGGGAAAGTCATAAGTTTACTGCAGACAACAAAATTTGCAATAAAAGTGGGAGGAAAAGAGCAATGGATCTACTCAGGAGAGTTCTAGGAGAATGTCACTGAAGTGATAAAATGAAGTAGCTTTAAAAGACAGCAGAAGAGAAGACTGAATGGGCAAAAACAGATCAAAGAAAGAATGTGATCTCAGTGAGCTATTTTAGAGGCACTGTGAATGAAAGATAAATTGTATCAATAAAGACAATGCTCAATAAATTTATTATCTGTTGATACCAAAAAAATGAGAAGCAGGATAGTGCCATAGAAAGATAATTAAATTTACAGGTAGAGGAAGTGGGCTTAAACACTAGGGCAAGTTACTTAAACTTTTTTGGGTCTTATCTTCCTGGGCTGTAAAATGATGGGTTTGGGACCAGATAGATAATGTCCAAAGTCCCCTCCAGTTCTAAGTCTATGGCTCTACGCAATGAAAACAGGAACCACACATTTTCCTTCCAAGTATACAGCTACCATTTAACCAATCCCACCACTTTAAATTTGGCTAGAATCCTTAAGTAGCAGTTTACATAAACAAAAATTTACTTTTTGAATGGCTACTTGCTCCGAGGAAAGCATGGTTTCTAGGGGTAAGCAATTCCGAAGATCTTCTGCAATGTTTTTCAATATAATGTCATTATTATCATGAATGAACTCATCAAAATCTCCTAAAAAAGAAGCAGAAATGTCATTTTTTAATCTGCAGGCATAACTGGGTTAACAGTTATTGTTCTTTATCTTTCATCTGAAAAAAAAACCACTTACAGACTTTTTTACTTCAGTGTTTCTGACTTGCAGTATTAAAAGGAAAGATTTATGTCTAACACCATTTAAAGTCCTTTTACAAAATTCCAAATTACTTTAGTTCTCAAAAAAAAATAAAACTTACACATAATTCTATTACCCCCATCATATGTAAATTAATTCAGCCTATTAGATTAAAATATCAAAGTACCATAGGCATTTTGGTATTCTTGATGTGATATTTCTATTACTTTCTTTCTGGCAAGAAAGAGACTCCCATTAAATAGAGTGAGAATGAAACTCATGGACAGGTAACAAAATTCCTTTGATTTAGACATTAGAATTTAGAGTCTAGTCACAAGAGAGAACTGCCAAATGGCTGAGAACTCCCTATCAATCCAAATGACTAGGTTCTTTCTGGGTCCAAGGGTAAGGAACTACAAGGCATACCCAAGTATAAATGCTTCCAGCACTCCAAATTTAGTGTACAGCAGGCTCATTCAACCAAAAGAACTCTGCATCATTCAGGATAACAGTGAGAGCTGAACAACTCAATTCTCTTTTATTGCCTAACTACTAGTTGCATAGACAAAGAAGTATCTAAGAACATTTATTTCAGTGGTTATTGGTTAGTCTGCATGAAGTTCATAGCTCAGTCTGCATACTTCCAGTGCCCACTTATATAAATTAAATATTTGGCATAGGAAACATCTTTAGGCCAATGAGATGGGCTCCTCCCCCTCTTTGTTTGGATAGCCATATGCGGATAAATACATACATACCTACGCAAAAAGTTTTCCTATTGCCAATTAATAGTATCTGAGTTATAGCTATGAGAAGCAAAATGACCCAAACAGGAATGAGCATCAATAAATCTACTTCTAGACAGAGAATATTATTTTTCTCTTCAATACAGCATTCAAGCTTTAAGGTAGGCTACAGATGCCATCAAATTATCTACTCTGAGTCATTCTTAACTCATTAAAGATTTTCAGACTAAATAATAAGGTAAATAGTTGGCACAAATTATGTAAGGAGGCAGTCTCGAGTAGCAGACTCCTGAAGTTAGGAAGAGTTAAGTTCAAATCCCACTTAAGACATTTAATAACTGTGATACTGGGCAGGACATTTAATCTCTCAGCCTGTTTTCTCATATGTAATATACGGAAAATAGTATCTATACCTCATAGGGCTGTTGTGAGGATCAAATGAGTTAATATATGTAAGGTTTTGTAAACCTTAAGTTCCACATAAATGTTAATTATTATTTGCCATAAGTTTTATAACAATGTTACTATGCTGCGTAATTCAACCAGGTGTTATATTTTTAAGTAGTTCATACTGGAATGAAATACAAAAATATTCTACTGTCTGGACAGCCTGCTCCTATCCAGTCCTTATAATCATCACATTACTAATATATACTTCCTCTAGGTTTTTATCCTCCTCCAACCAACCTGGATATTAATCTTTCCCAAGGTTCCATACTCCCTTTGAGATCACTCATTTAGAGTTCAAAGTGGGACTTAAAGGCCACTGAGTCCAAGTCCTCATTTTACAGATAAGGAAACTGAGGCACAGAAAGGCTAAATTAAGGATTTCCCCAGGATCATATAACTATTATACCATACAGGAATTACAATGTAATCCTGGAAAGCACAACCATTGCTTACAGAAGACTGTCTTTTAAGGTAGCCCTTCTTCCCACTACCAAAGAAAGCCATTGTGGGTTTCTGTCCCCCATCCTTCACTGTATCTTGTCTATTTTCACCATGGGAACACATTTCAATGACATTTTAAAATTTGGGGGGTATGATTAGCTTTCCATTCCTCCCTAACCGAGTTTCTTTCCCTCGTTGCTCCTACTCTGCTTTGCCTTCCTCCACTCCAAGTTTGAGAGTCTGAGGACATAGAACTTCCTGTAGTGGGTAAAATTTAGCTGTGACATCAAGGAAGTCAAGGAAGCCAGGAAATGGAGATGAGGAGAAAGAACATTGCAGGCTTACAGACAATCACTAAAAACAGGAAGGACTGAAATCACAGTGGGGGGTAGGGCCGTGTGGGGGTAGACAGGTAGGGTATAAAGTATAAGACTGGAAAAGTGAGGTTGGCAGGTTATGAAGGGCTTTAAATGACAATCAGAGGATTTTATAGTTGATCCTTGGGGTGACAGGGAAGCACTGGAGTTTGAGTAGTAAGTAGGGTGACAGTCAGACCAATTTAGATCACTGAAGGATAGACTGGAATAAGGAGGGACTTGTGGCAGGCAGATGGACCAGCAGGCTACTGCAATAGTCCAGGCATGAGGTCTTCGGAAAGAAGGGGTGGTACATAACAGATACTACAAAAGTGGAGTGGGCAGCAGAATGAGGAGTTGAGGATATTGCCTAGCTTGTGAACCTTAGCGACTGGCAAGACAGTGGTGCATTCATGGGGCAGCTAGGTGGCACAGTAGATAGAGCTCCAGCCTTGGAGTCAAGAGGACCTGAGTTCAAATCTGACCTCAGATACTTGAAACTTACTAGCTGTGTGACCCTGGGCAAGTCACTTAACCTCACTGCCTCACCAAAAAGCAAAAAAAAAAAAAAAAAAAAAAAAGACAGTGGTGCTTTCAACAGTAATAGGGAAATTTGGAAGGGGGAAGGGTCTGGGAGGAAACCCATCATCATAGGCATCATGAGTTCAGGGTACTGTGATTTTTATATTAATCTATATGTTATGTACAATGAATATACTAATAATTTAGAATTCTCAAGAATTGCCTTTTCCAGCTTATGAGTCAGAGCTCACAATGCATCTTGAACTGATCAAATACTTCAGTATTTTTGCCAAGAAAATTTCAAATAGGGTCACAAAAGGTTGGACACAACTGAAATGACTGAACAATGAACAAGTTATATATACACTGTTGTTCATCTTATTTATTTCTGCTTTCAGAAGTCTGATTCCTGACCTAATTTCTATACTAAAAATTTTTTCCCATAAGTATGAGGGCTGAGGATATTGGATTTAGCAGTTAAGAGATTGCTAGTAACTTCTCAAAGAATTGTTTATTAGTAGAGTGATGGGGTCAGATTGTACTATGAGAGAACAAGTACTGTGAACTACCCAATCTGAAAAGGCAGGATTAGATAAACAACAGGTATATCCTGTAACAAAATGGGGTTTGGCGGCCCAATCCTTTATGGATCACATTATGTTTCGTCTTTCTTCCCACACAGGAGTAAAAATAAGCAGATTTCTTCCATCACAAGATATGCTCCAGGGCTTTTTACCAACTTTTTTTGGTTTCTGCTGTCCTGCAAACTACATAAGAACACAGGATTACCTTACCTAAAATTTTATCTTCTCAGCTGTTGGTAAGTGATTAGGTATTTAATAAATGAAGTCTATCTTTACATTTATACCTGTAAAATTTCACCTTATTAGAATCAGCTCAGTGCTCTTGACTGGAAAGATGTTTTTGGAATCTGACTTTGACATCCAACATGTTAGTTAACCCACCCAGTTTGGTATCCTGAGTATGCTATCTATGCTTTTATCCAGATCATTTATAAAAATGTTAAAACAGCATAAGGCCATGAACAGATCCATACGGTACTCCCCTGGAAACCTCCTGCAATGTTAATATAGAACCACTAATAATAATAGCAGCTAATAAAAATATCTAGCATTTAAACAGTGTTTTAGGTTTATAATAATTATCTCATGATTTTCACAAGCACCTTGAGAGGCATATTTTATTATCTCCATTTTAGAGATAAGGAAACTGAGGCTGAGAGAAGTGAAAGGACTTTCCCTGACTCCAGGTCCAGTTCTCCATCCATACAGTCTGCTGCCTGTGTTAACAATTTCACCCTTGAAGTCTGGCCATCACACAACTGTCATCCTGCATACACTGCATCCACAAAAAGGACGAGATACTTTTATCATTTATTTTGCTAAAATCTAAGTAAATTCTATCTATGCATTTCTATGGTCTACTAGTTTGGCAAACTTGTTCAAAAAGCAAACAAGGTTAATTTGGAATGACTTGATCATGACAAAACCATGGGACCTAGGGACAGGAGTTCCAAGTTCACCCTGCCGCCACTCCCACCACCCCCCACCCTCTTCAGTCAGAGGGAAGCAGGTGGAAAAGGAGCATTGGGACTAAGGAGGAGAGTGTTCCTGAGCTGATTTGAAATTGGGGGATGAAGGGGCAGCTAGGTGGCACAGTGGATAGAGCACCAGCCCTGAAGTCAGGAGGACCTGAGTTCAAATCTAGCCTCAGACCAAACACTTGACACTTACTAGCTGTGTGACCCTGGGCAAGTCACTTAATCCCAATTGCCTAAAAAAAAACCTGTAAAATGAAGAGATTCTTGAGATTATGGTGAAGGACAGGTGAGCAGCCAGGTAGAAAATGATGGAACCACTGCTTCCCTTTCTTGACAATTTTCAACCATTGCTTTAATGATCTGTTCTAGAATTGGGAGACAGAACTTGATATAGAGTGAAGTAAGCACAATCAGGTGAATAATTTATATGTAAGGTGGGGTATTGACTGGGTCACTCACCATACTGCAATTTGTACAGGATAATAAATGTGGAGAGGTGGAAAACTATGAAAGACTTGAGAAGTTTGGATCAAAGTAGAGCACCTCTCCATCAGAAGACCTATTTTGATGAAATATATTTTCCACCTCCTGATTAAGAGGTGATAGACCTTTGGCAGCGGTGTGTACAAAGAGAGATACATTTTTGGTCATGACCACTATATGGATTCATTTTGTTTGGCTGTCCTTCTTTGTTACAAGAGTTTCTATCCCACCTTCCAGGTTTTAATTGGGTGAGGGAGAAGAGAGTTGGGGTAAGAAAGGGTAGGTAGGGGCGGTGATAACCAAAAAAAGGTACTGAAACATTTTTTCAAATGCACAAAGCAAAGTAGAGAGAGGTTCAAAAGAGAAATAAACAAGCAGGCCCAGTTTTTAAAGTAACCAGTTTCATTTACTACCTAATTATTTTTTTAAGGCAAGCAATAACAAATGGAGCATTATGGCTTCAAAAGAGAAGTTTAAAAAGGAGATACATCTCTTTTGGCATTCTACTCTGAATATGGAAAAATCCTCAAGAGTTTTTTTTGTTTAAATTCAGATTAAAAAAAAAAACAACAAAATGACACAACAGTAAATAGGAGTACTCTCAAGGCCATGGATGCCGGAGAGAAAAGGGGAATGAAGCCCCAGTAACCCCCACCCCCCCCACCCCCAACCTAACCATTGCCCCAGGGCATCTATTCATTAGATCAACGGAAAACAGGGCTTAAGTTCCTTAAAAGACAGCTCTTTAGACACTTTAAGTCACTCTTCAGAGCCCCTGGGTTTTTATTCTTTTCCTCCCATGGCTTACTGATATCTCTTCCAATTCTTAAAGACAGAGATTTTCTTTTTTTTTTAAGCATATATTAAATCTAACCATTCAGTAACAAAACTGCCTTGCTCTTGATGACTAATTTCTTGGTTAGCAATCTGTGGATTCTATCAACCATAACTTCTCTATTTTTCATAACTTCTAGGCAGTTTTCTTATACTGTTTCCCTCAGAATGTTGTTTGGACTTTTAAATTCATCATGTTCTTCTATCATTCTTAAATACAAGAACCTTCCTAAGTGAACTGAGGCCCAGGAAGATTAAGTGACTTGCCTAAGACTTGCACCGGAGTTGGAATTTGAATCCAAGTACAATTTCTACGTTAGAGCCTTATATTCATTTTTCAGATAACAAAATGAGAGTCAGACAAACATAGAGATGGAGCTGATGGGTTCAGCAAGTCAAGTAGTACAGAGAGAGAAGAGGGCCCAGGATAGAACCTCGAAGAACATCTATGGTTAGAGGGCTAGATCTAGAAGAGGATTCATCAAAGGAGACAGCGAAGAAGCAGTAGGAGAGAATGTTGTTCGAAAAAACCTAAAAGGAAAGAGTGCTCAACAGTGTCAAAGGCTATGGAGAGGTCAAGAAGAATGAAGATTGAGAAAAGGCCACTGGATTCCGCAACATTAGTAACTTTGTAGAAAGCATTTTTGATGGCCTGATCGTAGGGGTAAGAAGAGTAAGAGAAGAGAAAGTAGAGATACCTATTCTAGACAGCCTTTTCAAAGAGTTTAGTTACAAAGGGCAGAAAAGATATAGGTCAAAAGTTAGGGACAGAAGGATCAAATAAGGGTTTTTTGAAGATGCGTGAGACGTGGGTATGCTTGTAGGCAGTAAGAAATGAGCCAGCAAATTGAGAGAGACTGAAAATAAGTTAAAGACTGGGGATGACAGAAAGGGCAATTTGTTGGAGAAGATGGGAGGGAATGAGATTGTTTGAACAAGTAGAGAGGTTAGCCTTGGTAAGGAGAAAAGGCACTCCAATCTTCCCAGATTGACATCTTGAAGTCCTCTTTGATTCATCCCTCTTTCTCCACCCCTTCCCCCCTCAATCCAATCAATCAATAAAACCTTCACATTGAAGCTGGATAACTGATTGATAAGTCTCTGGATTACTTTTTTAAAGGAGCCCCAGCCCATGCATTCACCAAACTCTCTGCTCAACTCACTCTTCATGTTGTACCATCCCCCTCCCCAGTCTTACTAGCTTGTGACCCCAGTCATTTAACCTCAGGTTCCTCATCTGTAAAATGGGAGTAAAGAAGAATCTACTCTGCAGGTTTTTCCGTGGACAAATTGAAATAACATACATAAATAGGTTCCAACCAATTTTTCCAGTCCTATCTAGAGAACTCTTTCACTCATAAAGATCTGTCCTGTCCTATCTTCTACATTAAACTAGACTAGTGATCATACATTCCTTTTTTGGATCTGCCAGGAACTTTTCGGCCTGAATCTTTGGCACACAACCTCCCAAACAAAGAAAGCCCTCCTTCTTCCCTGCAAGTTACGGTCCAACTTTGGGCCTTTTTATAGGAATCTTTCCTTAAGCTCTACTGGTAAAGGTGATCTCACCTTCGATTTTCTTCCTCCTCCAGAATTCTCCTAACACTTTTCCATGCTCTTTCATTCAACTCATCCTCCACATTGTTCCACCAACCCTCTCCCCAACCAGTACCTCCACTCCTCTGCACTTATTCCGTGTTCCTTTTCTTTATGCTGATAGTACACATTTTGCACAAAGTATTAAGGTACCACATTAAGGATTTGCAGAACTAAATACAGTTAAAAAAGAAAGTGGGGGCACAAAGAGCTCGAGGGGGCTCATCCAAGGTAAGCGGGGAAAGCTATAAACCGAATCCAGAGTATATTTCCAGAGTTCGGGCTCAGGCCTGCAGCTATGAGCCGGCCACAGCCAGTACAGCCCATGTCCCAGCGCCGAGGAGGAGGAGGTGCGCCGCGAGGCCCTCGCGGGGCGAACTTTATCTGGGGATCTTCAAGCGGCAAGACGCTAACAGGCCCCGGTCCCAACCGCTCAAGTGTGTCCCCTTACGCGTGGTTCGCATCCAGTCTAGAAGCGCAGGAAGGTCTCCAGGAGACACAGCTCCGAGAAGCTCCAACACTGAGCGCTGGGCAGAGCCCAAATCCATCTCAAAAACCGGCCACGCAGCTCGCCTTTAGTCGGAAGGAGCAGAGGGTCAGGAAGGAAGAACGCGCGTGGCGAAGAGACACGGCAGGAAAAGGGGCGGGTTCGGCGGAAGTCGCCTCGCCAGCCCCGCCGGAACCCCGCCCCACGGCTTGTAAACTAAGCTTCCCCGAGACCTCAGAGTCTCTGCCCCGAGACCTCAGCCGCCGCCAGTGCCAAAGTAGTAGTCCCAGGACGGGCCTTAACCCGTCCGTTCTATATTTCTTTTTTCTTTCAGGAGGCTTCAGGAGTTTGCTTATTTGTCCCCTTCTGGGATCCGGTGAACTCTTCGCGAGCCTTCCATTTATCCAGAAAAAGGCCGCCATCATTTTTAGAATTCGGCAAACGATCCAGATCCCTCCACGGAAGGTAAACATCCCAGCTGTCTTCCATGACTTGCCCCGAAAAGGGGGCGAAGAAGGGAGACGGCGGTATTGCCCCGGCAGCGGAAGTAAACCTTCTGCCGGAAGGGGGGGGTGTTACAGGGAGTGATGACGTTTCTTCGTTAGCCGGAAGGTTCCGTGGTGTTTGTTGGGGTTCCAGCTGGTCCGGCCTGAGTGAGGTCTAGTCAGAGGGGCAGAGGGTCTTGTTCCCATATTCGCTGTCAGAAAGTTGGGCGCTCATTGTTCCGTTTTTGCCCGTTCCTCTTATTACCGGGCGGAGCGGAGCGACTTCGGAGGCTGTGGCGTTCGTTCTGCCTGTCCAGGTCAGTGATCGTTCTCCTCGTTCCTCTGACCACTTAAGGGAGGCCTAGGGAAACGAAGGGTGCCCACTATCCACTAATCTGGGCTTGAATTAGAGACACTATGGAGGATGGAAGTATTGAAGCTGAAACTCAGTATCAATCAGTCATTCAACCAACAAGCATTTATTAAGCATTCACTACTTACTTAGCAGGTACTGTGCTAGGCATTAGCGGTAGAAAGATATAAACTGAAACAGTTGCAGAGGGTGAGGGGAGGAGTGTAACCAAGGAGTATTGAAAACTGTGTGGGTGTGTGTGTGTCACACACGCATACATTTCAATATATGTTATAGTAACTTTGAGGAGGAAGACACGTCTGATACAGAGTGACATAAGGATTGTCAAAGGAATGGGACAGACATGCATAGATATGAGGAAAGGGAGATTGTTAAGGGAGTTTTGGTCTAGGCAACTAATGACTTGGAATCACAGGAATTCTGGGTGTAGAGCAGTAGGTTGTCAAATTCTTCACAGAAACAATGGTTATGACTGGCCCTAGGCACCAGACCTTCTTCAACTTAACATCCTATCAAACCATGCACCTTGGCCATCTCACCTTCTGCTTGCTAATATGCTATCACTTTCCTCTCATCTCCCCTGGACAAAACTCCTTTCCTGGTCATGTTTTCCTTTTCTGTGTTGTGTTCCCATATTAGAATATAAAGTCCTTGAAATCAAAGCCTGTTAATTTTTTAAAAGTCTTTGTATTCCCAGTGCCTGGCTACTAGTAAATGCTTAATAAATTTTTTCATTCATTCACAGTCACTCAAAGGAGATTAACAATCATTCTAACATTCAATAAGCATTTATTAAGGACCTACTAGGTCTGGACCCTAAGGGTACAAGGACAAAAAAAAGTCATCTTGCCATTATAAATTGCTTACATTTAATAGGTAGAAATGACCTGTACTTTGGGGAGATTCAGAAATACTGACTACTGTGGGAGAGGTCTCTTGTAGCCTTGAAGGGATTCCAAGAGGCAGAAGTGAGAAGGGAGATCATTCCAGGCATAGGGCACAGCCTCTGCAAAGTCAAAAGAGACAGGAGATGGAATGTGGTGAGCAGCCAGTAGGGTAGTTTGGATGGAATATAGGGAGAATTTGTGTGAAATTAGTTGAGAATAGGAAAGAACTCAATTTTTAAAGAAATTTTTATTTTTTACATCATACTCACTTCTCAGTATATCTCTTCTCTTTTCAGAGAGCCAGATGGCTCTTATAAGGCTTTTAGAACAGTGAATTTTAAAAAGAATTAAACATTTCAGCAAAATTAACCACATAAAAAAATCTGACATATAGAGGAGGACCCATAGTTTCCCACCTCTGCAAAGCTTGGTCATTATCATTTCACATCATTCAGCTTTGATTGTTTGTTATTGTAATCATGGTGTATAATACTTTCCTGGTCTGTCTGCTTCACTTTGCATCAGTTTGCATCAGTCTTCCCATGCTTCTCTATTTTATTGTCACCATTTCCTATAGCATAGTAATATTCCATTATATTGGTATACCACAGTTTGCTTAGCCATTTCCCATTTGAAGGGTTTCTGTTTTGTTTCTAATTCTTTCAAACTACAAAAGCTGCTGCTACACTTTGTTGTATGTGGATAGAACCTTTCTTTTTGTCATTGACCTCCTTGAGCAGAGTGGAATCTAGGTCAAAAAGTATGGCACTGTAGTCACTTTCTTCACATATTACTTTTCAGAATAGTTGTATTAATTCACAGCTCCACCAAAAGTGTATTACTGTGCCCATCTTTCCACAATCCTTCCTACAACGACTTCCCATCTTTTGTCATCCTTGACAATTTGGATGTGAGGTGAAACCTCAGAGTTTTTTTGATTTGCATTTGTCTTAGTAGTTATTTTGAGCAAGTTTTTATATGGTTGTTAATAGTTTGCTTTTCTTTTGAGAACTGTTCATTCATATCCTTTATACAGTTATCCATTGGGGAATACTTTTTATTGATATTAGATTCCTAAATATCCAATCTTTACCAAAGAGAGAGATGCAAAAATTATTTCCCCAACTCCCCAACTTAATTTCTTAGCCTGGTTATGTTAATTTTGCTTTTTCAAAAGCTTTAAAATTTTATACATTGGAAATAAACCATTTCATCCTTTTTGATTGCTCTTGTCCCTTGTTTAATTAAGAATTCTTCCTCTAGCTATACCTGGCAAAGGTCCATTATCTGTTTTTCTTCCTCATTTTTTTTTCTGTAGTGACCTTTAATATTCAGAGCATGTGTCCATTTTAGGATTATTGTGGTACATGGCATGTAAGATATTTCCACCTAATTTGTGCTGAATTACTTTCTAATTTTTTCAGCAATATTTGTCAGATAGGGAAGTCTTGTGCAGTATGTAAAATAATACACAGGTGACTGTAATTTAGGGACATTGAGCCACTGAAGATTCTTGAATATGGCATTTTATATTCAGACTCCTGTTTTAAGAATATCAATTTTGACAACCTTGGAGAGCATAGATCACAAAGGAGGGTGACTGGAGTCAGAGGCTGTTGCCATAGTCTAGGCAAGAGGTGATAAAGGCCTGAATTAGGGTGGTAGCCATGTGGCTAGAGAGAAGGAGATATATGCAAAACATGTAATCCTTTAGATTCCTTCAAAACTCAACTTAAGCCCAATTTTTTTTATTCCCCCAATAGCTAGTAACATCCTCCTCTAAAATTAACCTATGTTTATTTGACATTTTCCTTTTCTTATTTTGTATTTAAGTTTAAAACTTAAATACAGAATAAGAAAATAAAAAGAAACATATTATAAACTTAAATGTTGAAACTTAAATACAAAATAAGAAAAGGAAAATGTCATGTACACAGCAGAACGTAAAAAAGGATTCAAAATATATAGCAATAAATTTCCATTTCAAGAAAGCCTATATAATGCTGTGAGTTGTGTTGAAAGCTGTCTATCTTTTCTTTGCTTCCTTGTAAGTTTTCTTTTGTTTGCTAATGTGAACTTTTTACTTTGTTCTTTTTCCCTCCTTCCTTCCCCTCCTTCCCTCCAAGACTGCAATTAATCAAGAATATATTTATATATGGATATAGATATATACATACACATAAACCTAAACACACACACATACATATATACATACATACATCAACATATATTTTCCCTAACAAATTCTACTTCTGATCTTTGTTTTCATATTTATACATGTCTCCTATTTCCTATTCCTCCTAACTCCTGTATTTTACTTCTACCAGATACCTTGCCCTCCTATTACTTAACCTACCCCCCTCCAAGGATCCCTCCCTTATCCTCCCATTCCCATAAATCTAAACACCCTTCTGTACCCCAACTTGACCCATTCCCTCACCCTCTCCTCTAAAGATCCCTTATCCTCTCGCCCTTCCCTATCCCCTTGGCTTTTTATTTCTTTCTAAATTTATAAGAATTTTATGCTCTTTTAGATATATATGTATTGTTCCCTCTTGAACCCATTCCTGATGAAAGTAGGTTTCCAGAACCAACAGCCCTCCTCTCCCATCTAATTCCTCTGTGTTGGTTCTTCCTCTTGCACATCATTTGTATAAGATAACTACTATTTTTAGCTGTTCCTAGGGGTAGGGAACCTTCAGCCACAAGGCCACATGTGGCCCTCTGGGTCATCAAGTGCAGGCCTTTGACCGAATCCAAACTTCACAGAACAAATCCCCTTAATAAAAGTATTTATTCTGTGTAACTTGGACTCAGTCAAAAGGCTGAACTCAAGGACCTAGAAGGCCACGTGTGGAAAGATAATGAATTCTGTTTTGAATATATTGAATTTGAGAAGTCTATAGGTCAACTAGATGAAGTTGTCCAGAAGGACTTTGGTGAGGTGGGGCTCAAGCTCGAGAACCTAGTGAGATGATGGCTGGCTAAGTAAATTTGGCAATCATTTCCATTGAGGTAGTAGTTGAACTCATGGAAACTGATGAGCCTCACGGAGCATAG